AAAAGGTTAAAACATTATTTTTATATACCATCTCACTAAGAAAAAAGTAGGGGTGAGTTTGGTTCGCTTCTTGAAATGAAAATTAGGAACCATTTTAAAAACTATTAATCCAATATCGATTTGGTTCTATAATTTTTTCTGAAGAATCAATGTAAGAACCGATAGTATCATATCGATGCAATTCTTGTATGTTGCCAGTTAACCATAAGAAATAAAAATATATTTAACCATATTGTGTCTCATCTTTAAGTCGCTAACATAAAAAATTATACTAATAAATACTCCGTATTAATTTGTAATGCCCTTCTCAGAGTTAAAGGAAACATTACACTAACTTACTACTTTTAAAATTAAACTGTAACATAACAACCATTTGTTTAAGAAATAACCCTGATAAATTCTTAAGTGACTAAAATTTAACTCCAAATAAAAACTGAATAAAATCTTATTATTACAAAAATCAAGTGTGATAACCATATGGATTCAAGAATTTTCTCAAACTTCAAACAATCAAAATAAATACTCTAAAATCAAATAACATAATAAAAATCGCTTTATTGAAATACTTAAATAAATTAATAGCTGGAAGCCGCCAAAGTAGTTCTCGTTAACTCATTTTGGCACGTGTTTCACTCTGTCATCAGGGGCCCACAATTAAAAATTAGCCACAGAGAATTTTACATAAAATTTATGAGATCTCTTTCAGAAAGTTTTATAGAAATGTTGTGAGAAAGTATTTTGAGATCGTTCTAGAAGTCATTTCAGAGTTATTTCAACAAGCATTTTGAGATTTCTTTCAAAATCTATTTGAGAAGTTATTTGTGAGTTATTTGTTCGGTGCATGTTTATAGCCTAAATTTATCTATTGATAAATTAGCATAGACTTCTCAGTTTTTATGTGTGGATTCATAATGACTTACTGAGCGTAAAACTTATCAGTTTTCTTTCTTCGCATGTACATATACTAGGGGTAAGACCAAAGCTTAGGAAGATGATGGGGGAGTGGAACATGTGCCAAAATGAGTTAATAGGAATGGTCTTGGCGGCTTCTAGCTATTAATTTGTTTAAGTATTTCAGTTGCTACAGTTAAAGTGATTGATATTATTTTATTTTATTTTTGAGTATTTATTTTGTTTGTTTGAAGTTTGAGTAAATTTCTAGATTCACGTGGTCATCACACTTGTTGGTGATGATAAGTTTTTATTAAGTTTTATTTGGAGTTATATTTTAGTCACTTTTGAGAATATATCAGGGTTATTTCTCAAACAAATAACTGTTATATTGCAGATTATTTTTAAAAGTGGTAAGTTAGTGTAACGTTTTCTTTAACCATGACAGGGGCACTTCTGTAAATAAGTCAACAAATTTTAACAAACTAAAGATGAAAATAAAATCAATAAATTCAAGGGAAATGGAGGGAGTGAACTCTGACAACAGCAGTGGATAGGGGAAATTCTGGTGACCAACAACGGAGGACCGGATTTAAAATTCTATAGACTCTTTTAAAAGTCTATGAACTTGCCCATGGATTTATGCAAATCAACAGAATTTATTGATAAAAGCCTATGGATTAAAAGTCTATGGACTTCTTAAAAAGCTCATGAATTAAAAAAACGTCACAATCCATATACAATACAGGGGTGTAAGTGAATGGAGAAGGAAAACATTAATGTTAGGTTTGTCACTTTGTTTATTTTTCCACACCAAAAAAAAAAGTGAAAACAATTTGGAATAATCAGAATAATAAACTTTGTAAATCAAAGTTTAGATATGTATATTTGACTAACTAGAGGATTGTTAGTCCCTATTTCTAACAACCAAACAATCATATATAGAATAGTGATGAAACAAGTAAAAAGTTCTGATTCAATACATAAGGATATGAAAATGTCGAACAATGTAAAGAACCAGTGCTGCTCTCCCTCTAGAGAGAGAGAGAGCAGCTGAAACTATTCTATTGCCAGGGATTTCTCTATACTCTATGCCTTAGGTTTTCTCATAAGTTAGCTTCCTTTTATAGGAGATGATGGCTAACTTATGGCTTACAAGAGAGGCTAATGAGCTAATATTTAATTGTGGCCCATATTACACATTTAACTAACAACTACACAAATACAAAGACATCTAACTAGATTGGACATCAGAAAAAGTCCTAACAATCTCCCCCTTGGTGTTCAATCTTGTTTGATCAGCATTGCAGCGCGGATGTCTTTGTCTTTGTGTTCAGTTGCTCCTCAATGCAGCTCAACTTTCTTTGTCTTTGCACTCGGCTTCTTGAAAAGGCTTTTTGAAGAAATCCTTGCAATCTCCCCTTTGATGTCTTCATGGCAATTTGTTCTTTGATGTCGGGGAGTTGAAGAATCTTCAGGATGTAGCTTGTGATCTTTACCTTTCAGAAGTTGCTCTTGATCAGCATTAATGAATTCCGATGGCGCCTCTGGAATGAGTGTTCAGGTGATATACATGCGCGCACAAGATTCATCTTCAGAACTTGAATACTTGACCTTTGTCTCCTCAAAGTTTACGTGGCACAGCGGAAAATTATTGTTTTTGAGGAGATCTCGTCAGTGGCACAACGGAGGAAGATAGTTGACTTGTGAGCGTAGCTGACCATTTGATTTGAAGCTGGTTTGGCACTTGAGTTGAGAGACAAGGGTGTCATCGTTGTTGTTGTTTTGTGCTGGAGGAGAGAAGTATCAAGAATGATTTGTTGATAGTGACAACATGTGGACTACTCTCCCCCTCATGACGATCCGATGAATCGGGGCGTCATGCCTTTATTCTTTTATTCTGGGAAACAAAATTGAAAACAAACACAAAAGTTAAAGGATAAAGACCGGATACACTGAAGTGTTCCGTTAACACAACATCAATGTAAACACTGATGTGTGGCCTGTATAAAATGATAGAAGCATTAAAGCTCTAATAGGACTTCCAACCAATCATTGTGAAGCATCCGAATAGATGTCACTCTGGTTGTTGTGGCATGATCATAAAGATCAGCAATGCAAATCGTAGCCCCCCGAGCTGCGGCTACCGCTCCTTTTTGTTATTGTTAGTCAATAGTAATTGGATGCGTAAACTAGACCGATTACATTTCTATTCTCGGTAATTTGTATGTTTATCACTTAGTATTCATAGTTTAGACATCAACATTAATTGCAAGCATAAATAATACTCCGTAAATAAAAACGTGATGATTCAAATTTTTTATCAAACACCGAGTGGGCGTAAGGTTCGTCCCTAGCCTTAACTAAGAAATTAGCCTCTAATGTTCATATTAATCACAATACAAAATTAAAATATAATGAAATATGAAATAAAAAAGGAAATAACATTGAAACACCAAAGTTTGAGAAAAAGATATGTTTCCTCTTCAACAAATCCAAGAAATAAGCAAGAACAAAAATATGAAAGCTATGAATTAAACTATGGAATTAATGGTTGAGGGATGGAATTCAGAGTTTAAGTAGGCTAAAGATCGACATCCTTAAATCTAGTCACGGTCATATATGGAATGAAGTGAAATTTCTCAACTCTCAACCTCCAAATATCTTCACACCCTTTCAAGATATTTCAGCATGTTCGTGTGTTTCTTAAGAATCAGACCCAATCGGCGTAGGTTAGGCCACGAGACCAGGACCGGTTCTATGTATTTCCTAAAGGTCGATGCCTAATCGGTGTCAGTTATAGGTCATGGGTTAGGCGCTGGTTCGTGTTCGTCATTTGCTTGTTTGGTAAAATCAACGGGACCAATGCCGGTTGCTTCCCTCTCGCAATTTTAAATTATTTTTCTCTGTTTCGATGTCTGTGGTTGATCCAGAAGTGTCGATTTAGGTCCCTTTTGACTTTTAACCCCCGTTTCTAGTAAATATAATATTTAGTTATTGACATGTTTCTACATCATAACTTGTTTATCTTAAACCAGTAATCATTTAATGTAACTAAAAAGTCTCAAAAAGAGGATTCACATTTTAAATTTGGTATGCTCTTATGATCCACCGTTTTGTAGGGCATAGTAAGCCTCATGCATGCATTGTTAATATAATAAATAAACCACATATATGGTACGGCTTGACCAGCAACAAGAACAACGTCCAAGCCTTATTTTTCAAATAATTGGGATCGAGTAACATGAATCAATCCATGATATTAGAGCCAATAGAAAAGAAATATAAGGAAAATAAAAAAGATAAGATAAGATAAAAAAAGATAAATGTAAGATAAAAGAACATAATAAAGATAAAAGATAAAAATATCATAAGAATATAAGAAAGATAAAAAGATAAATAGATAAAAGTAATAGTTGTGCCAAGAGCCCATGCCTAAAAAAACTTGTCAAGTTTGCTCTCTCTAAAGCCATACTCCCATCCAATAAAAAAGAAGCATATTAGTTCTGATTCTTCTGATTCACATATGTTTTAGTCTTTCTTTCCCTCTCCTCCCCGCCTCTTCTCCCCACCCCTCAACTCGTCTAAGAAGTGCATCACTCGGTCTTCTATGTACATGACGAAATCATCGCAATCGAGACTACTACATCTTATCTTCTCTATCTGTTACTCCCACCTTTTGTCTGGTTATCTCATTCCTCAAACGGTTTTTTCTAGTATGTCCACACATCTAATGCAACATATGTATATCTGTCACACTCATCTTTTGAATGTAACATTGTTTCACTTTCCAACATTTTACGCCATACCTTAATGCATGCCTAATTATTGTCCGATAAAATTTATCATTCACTCTAGTCGGCTTGATCATTTAGGAAAAAAGTCGAAATGTGTGATTAACTTTTTTCGACACAATACATGTTTGTTTATAAGCGTCTAGTTGTGGCCATGACACTATGATTTGTATTCCCATTAGGCCTTGTAGTTATATTTACTGCATCTTATATTCTAAACATGATTGATGAGCTCATAAAACTCACTTCATTTTAGTTATCAAATATCGGACCAAGCTACTATAACACATAACATCTACACTAATCAACACTAATTATGAATGAAGTGTTATCATTGACATCAACAAAATACAATAGTCATTCCTATTTCCTCAATACAATATTTATTCGATTTTAGTTAATACTAGATCGAATTTCTATATTCTCGTATACATACAAAGTGTATCCATACATTGTTGAAGTTTGTAAGTTGTATCATGCAAGAACAAATTAAGAGTATAATACACCTGCTAACTCATTTTTTAATTTGTAAGTGACATTTTATATGAGATTTCTATTTGTATCTTCTATTGGATTGGGCTGGAACCTTTTTCTATTCACTTGAGAATGTGAACCATGGATTCAATATCATATACTCTACCACTCATATTTAACAAGTTTTAAATCTTTGAATTCTTCAACCACTTTCGACATAAAGAACAGAACAAATTTGGGAAATATTTAGTTTTGTTCATTACGATTTCAGTTTATTTTGAAGGAGCTAAAATGTTCTTCTTTAGGTTACTCCTTTTCAATGGACCTATCATAATTCTCCAAATTTGAGTGTTGCAAATTCCCTCTAGGTCTATGCAACATTTGCAAAGTAATTGGTTGTTGACTCTGTGAGGTTTGTGGATCCACGTTAAGAAATATATTTTGATATTTTAATGAGTAGCTGGGTAATGCTGAGGGCCTCAACGCCACCATAGGTGCTGTATTAGTGATCATGGAATCTCCTGACTGAGGTTGTTGTTGAGGTTTGTTGAGGGAGGTCCCATTCCCACGTCCTACAGGGACATCATGGTTGTGTTTTCCTTCATACGCTGTGATCACTGCCCGGTGATCATGGGATGCTCGCTCCACGTGTTTCCTCACTATACAACCCTGATGCGTGCATCTATAGTAGCTCCTGCATATTAGAAAAAATTGTGCGCTAAAAGTCTCGCGCAGAAATAATAAAATTTAATCTTGTGTCAAACTTAATTTTCAATTGGACTATTCAAATTTTAAGAGTAGTAAGACACATAAACTCATTTGTATTACTCCTCTATGTTTTACTCCGATCATCACATTCATGTGGGAGCAAGTGGTACAATTTGAACCGAGCATGTGAAAAAAAATCAGATATTTTTTTACAAAATCTTATGCAAGTATAGTCAATGTTTTTTTTTTCAAATTTGGGGTGGATCGAGGCCTAGCACGCTCCCTCACCTACGTACACACCCGCGTTTGCTACTCCGGTTACAAAAATAAAGAGTGAAATTGTAGAAGTGGTGAATATATATATGATAAAAAATCTGGGAAAAACTAGACGTGACCAATTAATAATAAATTTGCTCAGAAAGAATATGATGCAAGTATAAACAAATGAGAATACTATGATCTAACTCAATGTTCTCAATGAAATATGGAAAATTTGCCCAAATATGAGTAAAAAGAACGTGGTATATCAATTGACGTAAATATTTTTTGACATTATCAAACATTAATATGACAATATTAATGCCATAACTATTCTTATACATCGGGAAAATTACTGTACTTCTATTTGAGAATATCATATTATATTTTCTATTTTGAACTATCAATTATTTTTACTCAAGAATTCTAATAAAATAATAAGCAAGGTTATGTGAGGCTTTTTCATAATATAAAGTGTGAAAGTTGTTCAAGTAAGAGATCGTGTACGTATAAAATGAATGCTTACCTAGGATTTGGATTTTGCTTCACTACTTTTTGTCCATATTTTCTCCATCTATAACCATCATCAAGAATATCAATGTCACTTGTCGTTTGAACCACAATCCGTGGTTGTCGCACAGTTGTACTTGCATTTTCATCTTCGTTTTTCCTAGAAAACCAATATATATGTACATATATACAACTTTATTATCACATACCGATGAAAGGTAGGAATAAATTTGAAGCATCAAATTTAGGATCTACTCGAAATATGTTTAAAATTGCATTAAAGTGGATGAAAACATGGTGACATTTTTGTAAATAAATTAAAGTTTTTCTTCTTTGCAAAAACTGAACTTCTTGTGTGCAATAGTGTATCGTAAATGATCAAATTAAAAGTGGATAACATAAAATTTCTCAATGTAATAGTGCACCTTAGAGGCTTATAGGTGGAGGCGTTTTCATTTTGTATGAGAAAACGACTTTTTACTTGCACCTGACCCCATATATATTTGTGTGTGTATTAGCTTCCACATCCAATAAATACAAATCTAATGAACATACACACACCACATGTTTACTTCAATATATTGTTTTCCCACTTTTCTTAGTGCATAAATCTTATTTTTATACATTAAAATACATATTATAAAAAATAGTAGAAGTTAATATTTTTGAAAATACACATTGAGATGGATTGTCAAGATCTTACTTGATGTTATTTTCTCTTTATGTATGACTAAATATAAGTAATTTTTTAAGTTTTACGTTTTTACCACAACAATGGTCTATGAGAATATAGATAAGAGAGATCCATCACAACATTTATTTGGAGTACATCTTAGAGAGCTTAAAAATGTTTTTCAATTTTTTTTTCTTAAGAAAGTGAAAAATAGTGTTATTAAATAAGTGTTTCTACCTAAAGTTAATACTTTAATAGGTAAAAAAATGTGACTATGTGAGTGCTTGATTTTTTAATAGAGTATTACTCCTACATAAAAAGTACATTTTCACATAACTTTAATTTTTACTTATTAAAATCACTTTTGTTTTCAAGCGCTATCAAAATTTACTATCAATATCTATTCATATAATGTCTATAATGAATCATTTATCAAAGCTAGAATTAAATCATTTATTGAAACCGTAATTAGTAAGGGACAAAACTAATTTGAATATACAGGGTAACTAAAAAGAAATCCACACAGCCTAATTACAGTTTCAATCAAATCATTTATTGTAGTTACCTCATGGCTCTTTTTTTTGAAAGGGTTACCTCATGGTTCTTAGTCTCTTAGTTATTTAAATATACGGGGTAACTACAAAAGAAATCCACACAACCTAATTTATCATACCATCTTTTAGCTCTTGGCTCATTGTCTTCATCATCTTTGAAAATAAATCCCTGCTCAAATTCCTCATCGCCGGAGGAAACTGTAGAATTTTCAGCCGCGATGAAGCTCGTTGGTTGATGAGTACTCCCAAGACGCAACCTAACACATTTGGTTGATGACCCGAGACATCAATATTAATGCTTTTATGTGTAGTAATGATAGAGGAAATTCCCTAAATAAGAGTAAAATGTAGATAATGTGATCATCATTGTTTAATTTCTTTCCTAAAACAAGACTCTTTCATTCTTAATTGAGAAAATTTTATGTTAATAATAAACCAAATAAGTTTAATTTTGGGAATAAAACATATATACTCCTAGTTTTTGTCACTTGTAGTTCTCTGACTAAAATGTCAGTGACACTTCTGGTATTTGACTTTAAATTTTACCACTTCTATTCATTCAGCTATTGTGTGAAAGACATTTTCTATACTCTTATAATCTTATTTGAAACTTTCAATATTTAGTCCTTTAACTTTCATAAAAGACAAACTTTTGGTCGATCAACTATTACGGCAATGAAAATTTTAAGTATCCACTAATTGTGCTCAAATCATAGTTGACGAACTAAAAGAGTCAATTTGACAATACTCAAGGAACTAAATGTGAAAATGCTAAAGTCAGAGGCTAAAGTGTCTCTTGCACAATAGTTGAGAGGCTAAAATATACTCCGTAAATATTAAAAGTTGAGTTCCAAAAGTATCAGTGACCCAATAGTCGAGGACTCCAAGAGGCAAAGTCTCTAGACCCAATATTTGTCAACTTTATCTATGTCTCACTCCTATTTGGAGCAATTTATTTTAACGGATATTATTAGGGGCGGCTTAAGACTTTAGATTTCTTTTTAATGATTTAGGAATAATTAAGAATTTGAGTTATACATAAGCCTCAATTTGTCATTGAAAATGTGGTCTCTAAAATTGATTAAACAGCTCGGGATATTATTATGAAGAGAATGAGAAGTGCACCGTTTAGTAGACGGTTGAAGAGGCTTGGGGTGATTATGGCTGCCTTTATACACAATTTCAGTAATGTGTCCATCCAAGTTCCTCTCAACCTTCTTCTTAGTGGAGCAATTTTGGAATGTGCATTTGTAATAGCTTCGTGGATTTTCGCTTCCTTTTACATGTTTTTGTCCATATTTTCTCCAGTTGTAGCCATCCTCGGCTTTTTGTGCTCTAACGTTCTGTGATGCATGAATCAATGTGGATTTCTGGTGCATGACTGCGTTTTTATGGGAGATGGTAGTATGGGTTTCAGACAGTTGAGGTTCTAGCTCAACTTTTGTGGTGAAGTTGGAAAACCCTATGTTTGGTTGATGCATTGGAATTTCTTGTTCCTGTTTACACAAATGATCAATCAAAGACAATGATTACTAATTTCATAGATAATGACATTTTCATTTTTTTTGGATTGTTTATTGTTCCTAAAGGTTGAATCGCCAACCCCAAGCGTCCCCCACACCCCGACCCGATAGGACTTTTTGGGAGGATGTAAGTCACGGTGACTCAGTCAGTAGAGTGACAGTAGGCCCATACACCCGTGCGCACCAGAGGCCCAGCCTTATTTCAGGTTTTGTGACCTCCACCTGGTCGTTGCGGGGATTCGAACCTTGGTCATTGTTCCAAATTTCCCACCACTCGACCAACTGAGCTACCCGTGAGGGTATTTTGGATTGTTTATTGGGGGTACGTTTGCAATTCAATCATGTACTTTATGTTTCAGTCCGTCATTAATCATGTAAATTCACTCATTTATATATATATATATATATATATATATATATATATATATATATATATATATATAGAGAGAGAGAGAGAGAGTAATCTTCCGGTCAGGTATACCTGACCAGAGCCGCCGTCCGGCCTCCTCCTTTGGGGGCCTTCCCGGTGGTATTTTTTGCTCAAATGTTTTGTGTATGTTCCTCATCAAGTCTAGTTCATCCATACCAAATTTCAGAAAAAAATTCAATCGGAAAGGTCGTCAAATGATTTTTGCAAGTTAACTGGTCCGGAAAATACATATTCCGGACCAGTTAACTTGGAAAAATCATTTGACGACCTTCCCGATTGAATTTTTTGCTGAAATTTGGTATGGATGAACTAGACTTGATGAGGAACATACAAAAAAAAAATTGAGCAAAAAATACCACCGGGAAGGCCCCCAAAAGGAGGAGGCCGGACGGCGGTTCCTGTCAGGTATACCTGACAGGAACATTTGTGTATATATATATATATATAGGGGAAAGATCAAGTACAAAGTATGCTTATTGTGCAAATATTTGTACGATGCACCTTGACGTTATTTGCATTGCATATTGAGGTTCAAAGTATTGCACATTATAAAGTCATAAAAATAACAGTTGCACATTAAGGTGCAACGAGTGCACCCTAAAAAGTTGGGTTTTATTACAAAAATGCCACCTTGCCTTTATGTCCTTTGGATCAACTCATCGGACGGTCAAGATGAGTTTGTACTTTGTAAATTAAGAAGGCTTTGTATTTGATCTCTATTATATATATATATATATATATATATATATATATATATATATATAGAACAGATCCTGTGAGAACACCCTTTTAGGAGAGTAAAAAAGAACAGATCTTGATCATTAATAATCTTGATCCAATGGCTCCTACGATGCAAACATAAAAATGGCAAATTGAGTAATTTTGTACAATTTGTATAACTAAATTAAAAGCAACGATAGAATTTAATGAAAGCAAGGGCATAGAGGGTAAAAAAGTGACGTGCAACAATCTCAATTAATATTGATATCATAATCTCAATTTAAATCCCTAGAATTTCGCACATCACGTACCATTGACTCCATTTAAATAGGAGTGTCCAACTAATTGAGTAAATGTGTATTAATATTTTAGGATGAGCCAACAATTAAATAACCAAGGTGGCGTGTACAACAACCAAAATATTAATGTGCAAGCGGTTACTATTCAAAGTGCAATAGTGATCCCATTTTTATTATTCTGTTTTATTATTATCACATTGATTAGGTCCAAATATTATCTATATAAATTTTATTATTTATGTTTTATATGCACTTTACAGTGGAGACTTGCACATTTGATAGTTTATTTATTCGTTTCAAGAAATTGAATGATATATATTTTTAATGTGCTCTATTAATAGTAATGAACAATTTTATGTATGTATTTTACTAAATTCATGATGCACTTTTATGTTATGATTGTTCACTTTTAACTTACATAATAAGTTGTAGAAACAAAAATAATTTTTTTTGTTCATCTACGAGTGTACTTTTATTTTAAGCGTAGAAATGCACCTTGATCTGATCGTAATGCACTTTCAAGAATTAATAATGCACACCCCATGAATAATTTGATAATGTGCAACGTGTATGAGCGTAAGTGCATCAAAAATATTAACATGCACTTTTTGAAATTATATTACACTTTTCATCCCCTTAACATGCACTTGTGATCTCATTAACTTAAATATTTATTGAAGTTGTAATTTCACAACTAAGCTCATACATTTGTGCACAATTTTTTCATAATGTACAAAATGCACAATTAGAAGGATCACACACAAAATGTGCAGTATTAATAGAATATTGGTGCACTATATTTACTAGTACATGTATCATTCTTTCACATGTGAAGTATGCACAATTCGAGGGGTAAAAATGCACAAACATTGTTCAATACAACTTCAAGATATGTATCAACTAGTCATATTTTAGTCGAGTATTTAATATAATATGTATAAAATAAAAATGTATAATTAGAAGTATAAAAATGCACTATTGAAATTATAAAAGTGCATAAATAGGTTAAATGGAATGAAGTAGTACGTAATAAAAAATAAAATAAATATATTCAATAATATCTTGAAAATGTGATTGTGCTAGAAAAAAAATTAATACATGTAGAATTGAAGAACCCCAAAAAAGGTAAACACGGCTTTGATTTGTAAAAAATTGGAAAGTGTAATTAATGCACCTAAAAAATAGGGGGCTAACAATTCGGATGGTCATCAACGAACAAAATAAAATAAGGTGAATTCTCAAATTTGCCCAATTATTCTTTACGTGATTCTCCTAATTCTTTGGTCAATCTAATGGTTAAGATCTATTCTTTTTTACTCTCCTAAGATTAAGTTCTCACACGAACCTAAATCTATATATATATATATATATATATATATATATATATATATAGGGGAAAGATCAAGTACAAACTGTGTTTATTGTGCAGATATTTGCACGATGCACCTTAACGTTCTTTGTATTGCAAATTGAGGTTCAAAGTAGTGCATATTATTCAACCATGAAATAGCAGTTGCACATTAACGTTTAATGAGTTGCACCCTAAAAAAGTTGGGTTTTATTACAAAAATGTCACCTTGCCTTTATGTCCTTTGGATCAACTCATTGGATGGTCAAGATGAGTTTGTACTTTGTAAATTAAGAAGAGTTTGTATTTGATCTCTACTATATATATATATATATGTATATATATATATATATATTTGCTCATATAACTAATAAATATGTCCATTTAAAGGTTTTTTGAGTAAATTTGTGTCAAAGGTGTCGGAGTTGATGATCACCAATTTTTCTTATTCATTTGATAATGAAAATCAAACTGCTTCATATTATATTTATTTAAAAAACTAGAATCAATATGTGATGGCCGGTGATGATACCATAACACCCTATGACTCCATAAGGGAGTCATTAAAGTCTATTTAATTTTTTTTAGATCAAAGTAGTAAAGACAGTTTTCAAACTAACTATGGATAAAATACTTACCTCTCTAACTTAGTAACTTATTATATTTTCTTTGTGTCACTAAGATTATCTTTTTTTTCGATTCGTCCCACTAAGATCGTTTCATAATAAATTTGATAAATTTTGAGCGACTTTAAATCATTTTTACTTTATTTTTACTTTATTTATTCAATAACAAACACACAAATTAAATTTTCTTAATAAATGTATCACCTTCTCATGTCCCAACACTAGTGGAACATATATAAAAGTATTTGTTCCATGTTAAGATAACAATCTAGAACTCAAATGTGATTCGAACTTGTGACATTTTTTTTGAGAGTCCACAATAATGTCATCAAATAGAAAAATACTTGACATGCACCATTATTGTTGCCATCAATAATGTCAATATTACTTTATTTTTTTGTTAATATCAGTACAAAATGAAATATTTACTGTGTGATAATAACCAATTGCACTTGTTATTGTATTACTATTGGTATAGAAAAGATTATTATTATTATTTAAATTGAATTAGGTAATTACAGTAGAAGATTTATAAACTATCAGTTTCATGTACCGTATACATACCAAATTTGTCAACTTTGGCCCCTAAAAGATTGTTATTCTTATTATAGACAAATTTGTTTCATACTATTATAACTTAATTAACGCAAATCAACATATATGGGTTACATTACAATTGATGACTTACGACTATGTTAGATCTCTAAAAGCTAAAATATTTTTAGAATCGATCATGGTCAATTAATTATCTTTTTAATATTATTAAAATTTTAGTTTCTCATAAATTTAATTTGTACTCCGTATGATATAGGTATACGATAGTATTCATCAATTGTATTTTGACTTTCGTTATTATCCGGGTCGGGGTCAAGCTGGGCTGCAGGGTAGTACAATCAAGACCTTTCCGTCGCATGTACTTTTGTTTTGTATGTTTTAAAATTTACATAAAATGATCCCATCTATAACTCAAATAGTCAAATTCTTAATTCCTAAATCATAAAAAGAAATCTACCTATATTCTTAAATCTTAAGTACTGTCTCTGTCAAAAAAAAATATCTTAAGTACTGTCACATGTTTTAAATTCTTAGAAAACATTTTCTAAGAATAACTTTAAATGTAGAAGCCCCAATATTTGGTTCACAAAAGAACAAAGTAGAAGCCAATAACGGCAAGAAAGTCACTATTCTTAGACAACAATTTCATGTTCTCGACGATATGCTATGTATGTTTTTTAGGAAATAACTTTGTCATAAACAGGGGAAGATCTATGTACGGGATATGATAGATTGAAGTTCAGGGTAACTTAGAATTTTTTCAATGTTTTTAGTGTAAATCTTTTCATTTTTCACATTTAGCCCATTCCATAATATTTAAGCATAGTATAATTCATATTCATCACATGACATCCCAAATTCCTGGATCCACCCCTGCTTATAGATATAATTACGATAAATATGATGATTAGGTCTCCTAACTTTAATTAATCAATCGGAAAAGGGTATATTTCTATCAAAATTTCTTACATACGGCCGAAAGGTCCATTTATTAATCATCCTACATAAGTACATATAATTGCACTACTTTGATAAGATGCATTTTCCCGCTCAAGAAACGAATGCTTCTCAGCCGCACGATCAAAACAAAATCCAGGGCTTTCGATCAGGTTATCCACTTCGCTCATCAAGTCATCATCGTCCCTCATCTTCTTTGCCCATCAACAACTGATTTTATCAAAGAGATTCAGAAATTTAGAGCGTAGCTGAAATCTCATCATTCTCCATTGTCTTCCAATCCTCATCTTCGCTCATCAGTAACTCTTCTTCTTCTTTTTCTATTTCGCTAATAGGAATCCATTTGAGTTGAAAAGCTCGAAATCAAGTTTTAATTTCATTCCAGGTATGATTCTCATCTTCACTCTTCGATTTCTGATTATATATAGGGCATGACATCCATTAGTCCTTTCTTGGGTAATCCACTCAAGGATGGTAATTTATACTCTTCTCTCTATTTCGGTTTTAAGATTCAAGCTTATTATTTGTGCATTTTCATTTGATCTGCCTTTTGCACAACTTTTTAATTCAACTTCTTTTCTTAATTTTATAGGAGATAATGGTATGCTTTCGCACCAGCGCCACAGGGGTGGGTATGCTTATATTATCTCCAATTTTTCTCTTTAATTTATTTGCTCAAATTTTGTATTTTTTTTTTAAATTGTGTTTTACTTGGAGGTTAATTGATCTTTTAAATGCGAATGAGATCTTCTGACATGTAATATGAGGTTGAAAAGTTGAATGAAAACATACTGGCTGATTTTTAGAATTTATAGCAACTGGAAAGTGTAAAGACTTCAAATTGATTGTGGTTATTTCACCTGTTTATTAGGATGAGTGAGAGAGACTTCAAGTTCTTAGAATCTGTAGATGGTTTTGACAATGCCCTCATATACAAGCATTGAGAGGAGGGTGACAATGAAAGCATTTGGAGTTGATTTAATAGTTACAGACCCAACCAAGGGAATGAGTGGAACTGTACCGAAAGCTTATCACCTTGTGGAGTCCGCACCAAATGCTTTTATGCTTCAGCAGTTCTCCAATCCTACAAATACTCAAGTATATGATTTTGCAATTCGCAAATCTTATATCCTGCTTATATACCTCAAATCTAAAAACCACAATGTTAGGTTGCCTATATCCTGTTTCATCCAATTCACATTCCTTGGATCAGTTCAGCTGGATAGATGCTCTCAGATTTATATACTTATCAATTTATGGCTTTTTTAAGAACATATATATGGAATTGAGCCAGCTGAAAGCAATGTACTAAATGGTGGCAAACCAGGTGACTTATATTAGCTAACCTTTAAACATTATTTTGGATTGTCAAATCATTCTCCTTCAACTTCAGATATGTTCTTCATCTTCTTCAGGTTGTGTTCTTTCTTCTTATTATTCTTTTTCTTCCTCCTTTCTCTTTTCTGAATTCATGGCTACTACAAATAAAAATCTGCGACTGCAACCTTAGCTCCTAAGCACTGAGCACACCGCACTACTCCTCTTTTATTAAGGTAAATTATACTCCGTACTAAAATAAGTTTCCTAAACTAAAACTCTGTATAGCCTACTTTATTGTGCTAAAATTTCCTATTTTTAGTAGGAATGTATTAAGAGAAGTTCAAAAACATAAGTGATAATGTATATATTAACAGAAGATCACTAATTTAAATTTTAGCTCACCTATAAGCACATGTATACCAGGAACTGTATAAGCACATGTAACTTATTTAAAATTTTCTCTTAATACATTTCAAAACGTCTCTTAAGTGTGGTATCTATTTAAAGACCTCTCACTTTATTCTAATATCACACAAGGAATTTTATGTGAATGCGTATGTCTTTCTTAAATGAATACTTTTATCGACATTTTCCTATAAAAATCACATATGGCTCTCATAAAATTTCATTTCTCTCATGAGTGTACCCCTTTTGAATTTAAAAAAAGACAACCCCTTTCTCAATGAAAACCTCTAATCCTTTAATGTCGTGTCATTCTAAAACTAGAGAGAACGCCATATGCCTGTTGAGATTTTACTCAAAGATTATTAGGTAACCATTATTTTAGACATGTTTCATTCACATTTAATCAATTTGTCTTTGTTTAATATTTGATGGGTTTGGTCATAATACTCTTATTATCAATAGGCATGAGGTATAAAAAGAGTAGTTTAAGTGTTCATTATCATACATAGTATGCACCATAAAGTAGTAATTCATTTTTTCGTAATTGAGAAGTGCTCATTTGTTCCAAGCATGGAGTATTTTTAGTTTTATTTCTCTATTCTCACACGTACATCACCCTTCTCTTTGTGCTTAATAATTCTGTTTGGGGTATTGGAGTGTTCTTGATGAGATAGCAGTAACATATTGTTGACTTTTGTTGTTGGCTTATTTTGGTCATTTTGATATCCAATCTAATAATGTCATGTTATCCTCTATGCAATTCTCACATCTTGCTGTCCAAATGATAAAACATTTGGAGGCTTGTGCGATTTGAGGTTAAAATTGAGTTATGATGATGGGACCAAGACAATTTTTAAGTCCCGTAATGTTATGATTTACAACGAGTTATGAATGTGAGTCAGTCTTCTGAAAGTTTGTTTTTCATTTTCCTTCCATTTTATACCTCCACCCCCTTCTGATTATGATATGCCGAGGGTACTCTTTCAAGAGTTTATTGGTCTAATCTTAATATGTAACCTTTAGATCCTTAAATTCTGTTGTTGAACCCAAATTTAATTACTGGCTTAAAACTTCTGCTGAGTTTTTATTATACCTGTTGGTTTACTTAGGCAAGAGTTCATGGCTCCGGTGTGATGATTCAAATGCTCCTTCCCCAGGTACCAGGTCAGCTTTCTCAGGTCAATCATGAATTTGTTTTATCCTTAAAAATTTGTTTAATTCCTTATAAAAATAACCATGAAATTTTTGAATCAAGATTTTGAAAATTATGACTTAATATGACTGTGAAAACAAACTAAATCCTTCAATAAACAGTTGCTATAGAAATATTTGAAAATTAAGGTACATACTCAACTGTTTTAAATGCAGAATGCTGGAAAGTAGGCTCTCTCAATAGTATTTCCCTTTGGTTTTAATCTTTTTAAATGTATGAAAGACTGTCTCGGTTTATATATTCAAAAATATATACTTAAACTATATTTCATAAAAATATATATGAAGTATTCAACTAATTTGAAGTATAAATTGCAGAACATATGAGATATTCAACTTTGAAGCTTTAAGATATACTCTCTATTTAATTAATTTCCTTTACTTAATTAGTACTCATCTGGATGATATTGCAGATATCTTCTTCCAAGATAATAAGGATGTTGAGTCTCCTTACTCGATCATTATCAAAGCATTGAAGATGGAATTAATAGCAAAACCATATGTGAAGTTTGTTTTATAGTTTCAGCTAAAACATACTACGTACTACGCATTAGAATTCAATGGAACTCATGAATATTCTACATGTACATGTCATAGTGGGTTTGCTTTTATTGTTCTACTTTTCTTTCAAGTTTTAGTTTTTTTTTTGAAACATTCAAGTTTTAGTAATTTGGTTTTATTAAACTCTGCTCTTTGCCTCTTTGCTCTTTTCATTTGTTATACTCGGTACAAAAATCACGAAGTTGTACTCTATCACTTATTTCAAATCTAATGCACCGAAATACACAATTTTCATATAATTAAGAGAATATTATCCGAAATAGGACTAAAAGGGTTTGAAAATTCCAAAATAGGACTACCATGTTTTTATTCCCAAAATAGGACTAATTACTGTCATGTTTTGGCAGTATCAGACTTCAAACATGGTAGTTTTTTCCAAACTTGGCAGTATTTACTCCTATTTTGGGAATAAAAAAACATGATAGTCATTGGGCTGTACCGCTTTGTATATAAGACATGTTTCATTCACATTTAATGAGTTTGTCTTTGGTTAATATTTGATGGGTTGATCATAATGCTCTTATTATCATATCATGCCTTTTAATGGAAAATGTCGTCTTTAGGGGAGTTCAAACAAGTATGTACACCTTTCCAAAGGCACGAGACAATATATTAAACATATGGCTTTAAATTCATGCTGCCAGGTGTTGAAGTTTACAAAGAATATGGAGCTCAGGTGCAATATTGAAACATCAATGCTTTAGGGATTCAACTTTACTGAGTGGATTTTGCAGATAGGAGATGGGGTGATGGGGGACAATAACGATGTAGAATCAATGGTCCAATTGCATCTATTGTTGAAATTATCTACCCCGACTTTGAAATACGCATCACTGACACTTTCTTTTTAAATTCCAAGGTAGTTCTTGAGCCAACCATTGATAGACGTGACAAAATCACAAAAATGCATGCTAGGGTTGACTGCAGGCGAGGTTAAGAGACATTTAAGCTTGGATTCATAATCATCTTCTAAGTTATAACTCAAAACAGTGCACTCCTTCAAGAGATGCGTTCTCTCAAATTTCTCATTTGCATTGATTGTTTAGATGTGCCAAGTCATGATTGAATCAGAAAGGAGTTGCACGTGTGATGCTAATGAGGAATACCAATCATTCTTTTGATAGAGTAATGGTAATCGCCTCTTCGTCACTACACTCGGAACACATATTATTAAGGCTAGATGATGTCGAGAACAAATGTCGAATATAGATATCTTATTCCGAAACTTATCTTGACTCAATCTTGCTTGAAGCTATTGTTCACAATCCATCGTAGACAAGTCCTTCGATTCTTAGTTACATGAAGACCATTAACGAGAGTCAAATACAAACTTTAGGTGGGGTTGGTGTTTGTTTATGTCGTTCTGTTTTTACATTTGGGCAATTCTACGTCACAGTCTCAAGAGTAACGTCTAATCTCCTTCTGGGTTAAAGGCTTTAAGTGTTATTTATAGAGAGGTGTATAATAATTTATAGTTATATCTTCATTAATTGTTGTAAAAATAATATATGTAATGTTTTATCTTTATCAAATTACTTCTTTATCTTAAAAATAATTCAATTGTAGCTAACTGCATCCCGTGCAACGCACGGGTGAAAATCTAGTTATATCAGTGGTAATAATGAGTTCCCGGTGAAGAAATTATCCTAAATAGGACTAAATGAGTTTGTGTATTCCAAAATAGGATTATTATGTTTTAATTACTGTCATGGCAATATTTTTCAAGTTAGATAATAATTACTCCTATTTAGGTAATAAAAACATGACAGTAGTTCTATTTTGGAATTCTGAAACATTTTTACTACGAAAATTTTCTCTTTTGGGTGATAAGTTTAAATAATGTTTATCAGTGGTAAATGGTAACGATAGGGATTAGGGAGGATATAGTTTTTGGATGGGAGTTCTCGGGGTCTTCTTAAAGGGAAGTGGCCGGAGTACTACTGTACTAGGGATTTCCATAGTTTAAATTAAAGACTTTGGATGTTTTCTTTTGGACTGTTTTCAGTCCCAGACCAGACCAGACCAGACTTAAAAAGACCAGACCAGACTTAAACAGACCAGACCAGACCAGACTTAAACAGACCAGACCAGACTAGACTTCCGTAGTTATAAAATACACAGAGACCAGACGTTTACCAGACCGGACCAGACCAGACCAATTCAGACCAGACCATACCAGACCAGACTTAAACAGACCAGACCAGACCAGACTTAAACAGACCAGACCAGACCATCAAATTTCAGTCCAAAAGAAAACATCCTTTGTATGAGTATCGGGTAAGTAAGGATCCAGGAATCTTAACTGGATTGGATAGAAAAATAATTATATTAAATTTAAATATGGTGACAACTCCGGTACCCATTTAAAAAATGAGGTACTGTATCTATCATTCACTTGATTGGTCCACATCACTATATCATTTTTAATTTAGATTTAAATAATTCAACTACAACACTCTCATTGGTCCATGTGGACAAAATTAAAATATAGTATCTTATGAGTACCATAGAATCTACCTTTAAATATTAGTGAAGTGAACTAAATATGAAAATGAAAAAATTACACGAAAAAATATAATGCCTAAAAAAATGGAGTATACTCCGTATTAAATTGCCACGAGCTGAGCTTGAGCTCACAATAGCTCTAAACCTCTAACATAGATCATCTCTCGAATTGCCTAGGACTCAAATAAAGTCTCATCTTTCCTTGGTTCTTTTTCTCATCATTTGTTCTCTTTCATTTCACACCTCATTTCTATCACTATTGTGTGCTTTCATCCTTTACGATCTCTGCTCTCTTTAGTTGTACTTTGATTTACTTTTATTAATAAAATTCCTTTTCTTAGAAAAAAAATGTTTTTCCACGGATAAAGTATATATACTGATTAGAGGGGCTTGCATATTTATATTGAATTGGTTAAATTAGTATATGCGATATGGTCGTCAAATACACACACGTTACATCCTTACCGTTGTTAATTACGACATGGCGGTGTATAATATATAATAGAAAAGACATTAAATTACTAGCCACTAATTTATATACGTATATATATGAATGAATTAAAGGATAGAATTGAAGAATTTACGTACCGGCCATGATGAATTTGCACCTACAGATGATGGTAGGAACATGGATGAAGAGGCAGCATCCCTACTTTTTTGGAAGCAATTATCATTATCCACTCTATCTTCTTCCTTGTAGCACTCATTAATTAATCCACCAAATGCACCCGTAGTTGGGGATGGAAGAACCTACACAAAAAGGCAATTCCTCAGTAAAAACATATGTTTAAATTGCACTATTGCAGTTATGTCCTAAAACACTAAGAAGTTGTTCTCTTCGCCTGATCTGAATGTTTCTGATCTGAATTTTTTAAGTTCTGATCTGATCTGATCTGAATTTTTCTGATCTGATCTGATCTGATCTGAATCTTTCTGATCTGATCTGATCTGATCTGAATCTTTCTGATCTGATCTGATCTGATCTGAATCTTCCTGATCCGATCTGAATGTTTCTGATCTGGTCTGATCTGATCTGAATGTTTCTGATCTGATCTGAATCCTTCTGATCTGATCTGAATCTTTCTGATCTGATCTGATTTGAATATTTCTATGATTATAATTATAATTATAATTATTATAATTGCAATTACAAATATAACTTAAATAAAATTATAATTATAATCGTAACTATAAAAATAATAATAATAATTAAAATTAAATTTAAAATGAAAAAATTTATACATATTACACTAATTATAAATATAGATATAATTATAATTGTAATTATATTTTAATTATAATTACTTATATAATTATAATTGTAATTATAATTACAATATTTATCTCTATAATTGTAATTATAGTTATCAATATTATTATAATTACTCCGTAAAATAATTACAATAGTAACAATAATAATAATAATATTAATAATCATAATAAAAATAATAATTATAATCATAAATTATAACTATAATATAATTATAAGTATATTTATAATTAATAATAATTATAATTATATTAACATTAATTATAATATTATAATATAATAATAGTAATATAAAAACAATTAATATTATTATAACGATATTATTATATTAATATTATTATTAAAATAACATAATAATAATAATAATAATAATAATAATAATATAATTAGTATTATATTATTATAATATTATATTATAATTATAATTATAATCATAATTATAATTATGATTGTAATTATAATTATTATAATTATAATTAATTACAATTATAATTATAATTAATTATAGATATAATTATAATAATTACAATTGATATACTTATAATTATAAGAATTATAATTGTAAGTATAATTATAATTACATATAATTACAATATAATATTATAATAATATTAATCATATTATTATTATAATATTGTAATAATAATAATAATAGTCTTCTTAATAATTGCATTTATATTACTATTATTATATTAAAATATTATAACTATATTAATATCTTATTTTTTTATCATATTATTATTAATATTATTAATAATAATTATATAATAATAATCATAATATTAATAACAATATTAATAATAATAATTAATATAATAATAAAAGTGATAAATCATGTTTGAACTTTTCTGATCTGATCTGATCTGAATGTTTCTGATCTGATCTGAATGTTTCTGATCTGGTCTGATCTGATCTGAATCTTTCTGATCTGATCTGAATCTTTCTGATCTGATCTGATCTGATCTGAATCTTTCTGATCTGATGTGATCTGATCTGAATTTTTCTGATCTGATCTGATCTGATCTGAATTTTTCTGATCTGATCTGATCTGATCTGAATAAAATAAGAATAAGTAATAAGTAATAAGAATAAGACGAACAGAACAGCACCTAACATGATAAATCATATACGTAGTATCTACCTCTATATAAAAAGAGGTGGATTTTTGGCCAATTTTCCCGCCTAAAACATCAGATTAAAAATGGGTCGGATGATATATGGGTCAGGTGAGGTAAAAGGTAGTTTTGCATAGCTTCAATCAATGCACATTTTAATGCTCAGTACTATCGATTGGACTGCATTGTACTGTATATTGCTGCATTGTGCTGCATTTAGCGTGGGGGTTGTGTATTGCACTTACAAAATCTGACCTGCGGATTAATTCAATAACTGGATTTCTCGATTAACAAAACAACTTTCAAAGATTCTTTGAAAACAAAAAAATGTTTAGTACGGAGTATTAATTTTCATTGTGTTGTCCCTTTCAAGAGATTTCAAATTCAATGTTACTTGCTTCAACTAACGGAGTGCATGCTAAGAACCACTGGGTTGAGTGGGTTATTTAATCACATTAACAAAGCCGCACAGAATTTGTGGTATATATGTCACAGTTCAGTTCACAATTCAACCTCACATATAAAAAAAAATCAACCTCACATAAGAATTTAGGAGAGGCACTAAATCCAACTGTTCTTCGAGACAGAGGGTCATGAGGGCTTCTGAAATTCCTCCTCATTCCAGTAGTGGGGAGACTATAGAGGATGTTCTCCTCCACAAAGAGGTATATGTGCTCTTAATATTTTGTTAAACAAAAGCAAATTTGATTCAAAGTTGCATTTAGGTAGTGTTCACAAATGGTTAACATTCATTGTTATTGACAGGGAGGACAAGTTCATGCTACAACTAAGAAGCTGCAACTGGGTTTGAATGAGTCAAAATTAAAAGGGCATGAAGTGTATGTTGGCCCAAATGTCTTTGTACTTGATGAATGGTAACTGCCAGACTTAAAACAACAAGTCATACCCACCTGATCTTCTTTATGAGCAGAACCAAATGAGTTCGACAATTTAAAAAAAAAACAGATTTCGAAAAGTGTCTTATCACACAGGTTAGAGAAATAATCAATATTTTGCTTTTGTAAATAAGATTACACCCTATGACATTGATCATATTTTTGTTGGCCTTGATAAATATATATTGTTTTACTTACCAGGTCTATGAAGTAGGCCTGATTAAGTTTAACACAAATCATAAATAAATATAAATCACACACACACACAAACATATTACCAAAAAGGACAGAAGTAAACATCATTTTAGTGAACATCATTGTGATGAACAGAATATGATGTTGTCATTTATAAATGTGTTCAGGCATGTAGTATCTTAAAATTTTAATATCATTAGTATTTATATATATGTTTGTGGACATATATTATAGTAATCATGATAATAACACTTGGAAATAAAATGGCATTGTTTAGGATTAAAGGTGTTTTGGTCAGCGCCCCGCTAGCGAAGTTCCGAAGGTCAATGAGGTAGGTGTCTGGCAGGGAATCTGAAGACCCTATGGTCAGGGGTCAGAATCACAGCCAAGCAACAGAGAATTCAATTCAGGATAGTGTTAATATGAGGAGGCTCACAAAGTTTGAACGTGTTTGATAATGAAACAATTTTCATATTCAAATCACATGCAAGTAAATTACTAACACTTCATATCACATACTACGTAATAGGTAACAATACATGTTTTAGTTTAAATAAATATATTTCTTTTCAAAGCAAACTTGAATTTATGTTACCAAACCAGCAATATAATCAGTAGAGAGAATTTAAATCTATTATTTTTCCTTTTAAAAACGTAACACATAATTACCTATACAAAATTTTCTACCAACGCAGATTACACTTCAAAAGTTCTTATGCAATTTGGAAAAAGTTAGAAGTAATTCTAGGATGAAGTCAATTTTCTATATCTAGGCCACCACAACTAAGTAATACGGAGTATGAGTTTACAAGTGTAACACATTTTACTATTTTAGCATAAACAATTTGTTTAGCTGTTTGCTTTTATATGTTCTATTAGCAAATCAACAAACCTGCCTTTGAACAAAATTTTGGATACATGTCGTGTCAAATTTAGACCACATGTCTTCAATACTTTACACAAAAAACATTTGGGTATACTTTTTCCTCCATTAATTACATTAAAGCTAATTGTATTAGTGTGGCTGGAGGGAGAATGGGTGAAATAAGAAGGTTGGCAGACCACAATCTTCGACTTTAAACTCTTTGAATGTACGGGAATATGGTGCAGTTGTAGGCTAAGGGACATAATCATATTTGAAAAAATACATGCTTTTTAGTAAAATGACAGCTGCGAATAGAATATCCCTATATCTAATTATTTTTATTATGCATTAACTATTAATCTATGTTTAAAAACAAACACAACGAGTAGCAACCCGGACACATGGCTGGTACACGGGTCAATCCCGTAAATACCGGAAACACGGTCAACAATTATACGACCATAAAATGTCGCACTGCACGATTTTTATTTTAAATAAATATATTACATAAAATTTCTTATTAGGGTAATGGAATTGCAATTTATGGGTTCTTAAAAATTAAAAAAAGATTTTAAAATTTGAAAAAATAATCAAAACCGGGTTTTTTCGGATTTCTCGGGGTTTTTAAATCCAAGTCCGAATCGGGGTTTTCCGGATTAATCGGATTTTTCCGATTATTAACTAATCGAACAAGGTTTTGGTCCGGATTGACCCGACATGGTTAGGTCATTTTTCTAAACATAGCTAATAGTTTTCACAAATATTATATAATAATTACTTAATTTATGTTCCGTGCATCGCACGGGTGAGAATCTAGTGAAGTACGAAGCAGTGGCAAAGGCAGGGCGGTATATTGGGATAGGCTGACTCAAAGAATATTTTTGGAGTTTGTTTTACAAGATCTTTACTTTAAATTAAAAGTTTAAACAAAATTGAGAATCGGGGTTGGTGGAGACCTAAGTTGATCCCCTAGCTATGCCCCTGACCGTCTGATACGAAGTATTTAGTAATTTAATTTAGAGAAAATGGAAACTAATAATTCAACCTTTTAGCGATCTTCTTTCAATAATCCCACCTTTTGATTATTCATGAATAATCCAACTTTTGCACCTCATCTTCATTTGTTGGTCCCTGATCGGTTAATGACTTGCTATTCCAAGTTATTTTCTTATCTTTGCAAAATATTATCTTTGTGAAAGATAAGATTTATGGTATAATGATTTGCAAAGATAAGAAAATAGCTTGGAATAGCAGGTCATCAACCGGTCAATGACCAGTGAACGAAGATGGAGTGCAAAGGTTGGATTATTCATGAATAATCAAAAAGTGGGATTATTGAAAGAAGACCGCTAAAAGGTTGGATTATTAATTTCCATTTTCCCTTTAGTTTAATGATGACGACTTCCGTCTCCTTTTTGGGAAGGAAAAATCCGTTTGTACCCACTATTGTACCCATTTTTGTACCCACCATGTCTGTGAGGAGTTTGTTTTTTGTCTGTGAATCCCGGTCATAGACAAAAATATGTCTATGAAGACATGGTGGGTACGAAAGCGGGTACAATAGTGGGTACAACAAGAAGAATCCTTTTGGGAAACCAGTTACTTTATACGGAGTATATCTTTTAGTTTGTAAATGCTTATTAAAGTATTTCTTACACCGATAAATATAAGTATATAATCGAATAAATTAAACTACAATAATACCAGGGACGGATCCAGGATTCTGAGTCAAGGGGGGCGAAATTTTTCGTTAGTGTAGGGGGTGATTTTTTTTTGTTAGTGTAGCGGGTGAAATTTTTTTCCCTAGTATAGCGGGGCGAAATTTTTTCGCTACTGTAGGGCTATGCGGGTATTTTTATTCAAAAAATGACATTAATATATGCACATCCCGAACGACATTTAAATCTATTACATTCTAAGTTTAGACGATGACAAAGACATCAACCAATACATTTTTAATAACGTCTACATTGTTTAACCTCATGAATCGGTTATTGAATTGTAATTTTTGTCCACCAAGGAGGGTGTTCGTGAGTCATGACTCATGAGAAGTTTTCTTAATATTACAATAGTAGTATACTAGTATGTATGAGATTGTTATTTTTAGAATAATATGCACCACATACACACACACACAGTGCATATTATATTTTAATATTTTTATTAATTCTATAATAATTTAGAGTTTATTATCCATGCAATAAATTATTTTTAGAAAGCAAGAAGTAAATGAATTATGTAATCTAATGTCTACAAATATTTATATTTTGGATTCATTTCACGTGATCTAAAAATTGTGTAATTAGTGTGTCTGGTATTTAATATTGTTTGATATATGTTTTACGAAATCCAGCACTTGTTATCTAACAAAGATAATTAAACCTTACAAAACTAGGAATTCTTATATAATAAGTATCCTAAATCTTAAAAAACGAGTTACTCTATTGTTTATTTGTTTAAGTTATGTAAATTATTTTAGATGTTTCTTCTTTTAAATCTCCAATTAAGTATTACATTATGTAAGACTATATATATTAATTTTGAAAATTAAAAGCTAAGGGGGGCGAATCTAATTAAATTATGAAAGTTTTATGAAAATATTACATATATGGTAAAAAAAATTGAATGTCCAAGGGGGGCGGTCGCCCCCCGCGCCCCCCCTAAATCCATCCCTGAATAATACTCCCTGATTGACATTTTAAGTTGGAAGGATTTTATTTATTACGTACATTTGAGTTGGAGAAGAAGAGAGGGGAGTCCAACAGCACGGAAGGGCTTATGGCCGCCGGAGGAATGGTAAAGAACGACGAAGGAGAAGCGGGAGAAGGCGATGGCGATTTCGGGATTTCAGCATGGTCGTCGCCGTCATCAATAGCATCCCAAAGTGATGAATAAAAACCATTATCTTGATTATTAACGTCGTTCTTGATCGCGTTGTCGTCGGAAAAATGATGATGATCAGCGAAGGAGAAAGAAGGATAGTTATAGTATGCATTTTGGTGGAGGGAATCCATAGCACTAGAGCTGTTCAAACCTCCACTACCGCCACCTGATGAGCTCATTATAGTAGATTTTCTTTTATAGTTTGGGTTGTAACTTTTGTGCAGAGATGAATCGAACAAATTAAAGAGCTAAATCTGTATTTGTGGATATTGAAAGAGATAGAAAAATCAATGGAAGATTTTAGTTTTTGAGAGGAAGATTTTAGATTGATTACTTAAAATAAATGGATTGGCGGTAGATGACTTATATGAGGGGGTGAAATGGTACGGTTTTGATGTTGTGTTGTTCTAGCAAGGTAGCTAAGAAGGGTGATGGAAGGTTTGACGAGGCTGCAGAAAGGTAAGGTAGACATTTCTAGCTGGGTACGTTTTGGTCGAGTCAAAACTTGTGGGTTTGACTTTTTCTTGGCTTCCAATTATTCTGACTGGGTTGGTTCGTCACTTTTGATTGGATCCTCTACAGTCTACACGCCACAGCATCACGCACTTGACCCCTTACGTCACCCAGACCCATTGCCCCAAACATACGTAAACCAAACATTCTAGCCTCGCTGGTTGTGAGATTATCGTGTCTAACGGAAGTCTCGAGTTTGAATCCCACTAAACACACAAGGGTTGAAAACTCAATGGAGTGAGTAAAAAAAGAAAACCAAATATGTAGTATAAGAGGTTTGGGATTGATGCTTTTGAAATTACAAGTAGAATTAGAATCAGTACAAATAGAATAGAATAACATGTTTTTACTTGGACTATAATTTGTTGGTCTGGTCTGGTCTGATCTGGTAATGTCTGGTCTCTTTGTATTTTTATAACTATCCAAGTCTGGTCTGGTTTTATATGAACGGGTCTGGTTTGGTCTGATCTAGTCTGGAATAAACTACAGTCCAAGTAAAAACATCCTGGGAATCCGTTTTTAGAAGCTGGTCTCCTCAGTTTTTTAAAAAATTGCTCATAGGAGAATTTAGAGCACCTAAAAATATTTCTGCACTTTGACCCTTGTACGCTCCCAAAAATAGCTTCCTCTCCCCCTTTAAGTTTTGCTTTCTTTCTAATTATACCAATATATACAGAGTATTTAATTTTGATTTTGGTCGAATGAAGTAAATGTAAGTAAAAATAGGGGTGATGATGATATTTATTGTTGAATTTTTTTATGAACATGATTTTTTTAATTAATGTATCAAAACAAGAAAGTGGAAATTAAAGTTATTTAGTGACATAAGAATGTATTGACTTGTATGGGACAACGTAGAAAAGCAATAGAAAATATGATCAGGGGGAGTAGTGAAAAGCAATGAAAAGCAAGCACTAATAATGATCAATTGATCACAGTAATGTATTGACTTGTATGGGACAACGTAGATATGGACTATGTATCTATATAATGTTACCAGCAATAGCCTCTATTACGACTATTGTTCAGCTCTACACACTCTAGTGCAACATTTATTAGAAAAGAATTGTCGCTTTAGATTATTTTTCACACTTACAACTTGTGAATATCTCTATGGCAACACTTATTATTTAATGATGTCTTACACTCACTTAACCGTAGCCTTTACCCAAAATTTTGGAGCAACACTTTAAATTAGTGTTGTTATAGGCCATATATGGTGTAGTGCGAAGTTATGGTTATGAATGAGAATATTTAACGATTATTGTTATAAACTATTCAGACTTTTTAATCTTATACCTGCCCAAAAAAATTAACTGCTATTCCTATTTTGGTCTGATAATTAAATCTCTCATAATAATATACATATCATTATTTTTTTTCTTCCTTTAAATAGCATTCCATTAAAAGGCCATAGCTTTAAGAGACTTAAAATTCTATAGAAGAGAATTTATTTATACAGTATTTATCAAAATATCCAAAAAGAATTTGAAATTAGGAGGCTACCATATATTCTTCTCCTTTCTCTCCATATATATGTGGCGGCTTCTCCAAGCTAGACCAGTCGATCTTTCTTCAATGTCCATTATCTTTCCCCATTTATATATATTTCCTTTCAATAATCTTCTCTAGCTAATGTTCTTGATGAGATATATTTCTTCTTTCAATATTGTCTTATTAGTATGTTTTGGGAAAGGAAAATTTATTTGAGAAATATCAAAGGTACAGAAGTGAAAAATGAAAAGGATAAACATAACAAAAGGAAACTAAAATGCAAGCTAAACAACCCTAAGAACATCATCGTAAGTTTATAACCCTCCCTTGACCCCTTAGGTCTCATTCAAGGCAAGATTGACATCTTGTCCCCATGAGATGCGAGCAATGAAGTCTTGCTAATACATTTTAATTTGTGTGTTTAGGTTATGTTTAGGTTAGCAATTGTCTTTCGTGAGTCGTGACTAGTCTAGTCTTGTTACAGGTATCTTGATTTATATCGTAGTCTCATAGATCCTCTATAGATAAAATAGGAGTTCTCTTCTCGCTATCTGAAACATATCCAAGAATTCATCTCCAGAGTATCAGAGTACTAATTACTTGTAAAAGGGTCTTTTGAGAAATTGAACCCTGGAGATGCATACTCGTTAAATCTCTCGTCTTCAGCGGGTTATTGATTCGATGGTTCTCGATTACCCAAAAAGGATATAAGAATTCTCTCAAATTCGTTGATTACAAAGTGAGAAAGTGAGTCCACTCCAATGGTCATGGCAGTCTAAAAAAGCCCTCGATGCTTACTGAGCACAAGTCAAATCCGATAGAGGCTCCGTGCTACAAACGTTCTCAACAGAACTCAACACCCAAGATTCTTTAAATAGGTAGATTGCTCAATATCAACACGAAATAATGATTCCGAAAGAAAAGTCATTGTAATAAATTTATCCTCCTCTACCTTAGGAATGAAATCCACGATACCTGATGAAACCTCACACGAGACCTGTTTTGTCAGACCTTGTTGCTTGATTGCAAGTTCCTTCATTGAGTTAATTGATCTTCCAATCTCTATTAGAAAGCCTATAATCCCTAGTCCATTATGTTCTTTTAGGATAAATAAAGATTCATAACCTTTCAAATCACAACATTGTTTTTTGGCAAAAGATAACTTAATTAATATTAAAACTAAGAACCAGATACAAATTCCCCATATAAAAGGCTACAGTGGGATGAGACTCAGAGCTGGAGTCACATTTAATACCGGCCCAACTCGTTCACCCCGCAATATGGTAGACTCCATTAACAGCTATGTTGCACTTGCTACTAAAAGGAAAAGTAGAAAAAGCAGACGAGTTCTTATAAATCAAGGAAAAATAAGGACAATATCCAATTTTTCCGGCCACTGGTAACGAGACAGTGGTTTGACCAGCCCCCATCAAAGGTTCCTCTTGCACATCACAACAATCCCCTATCACTGGTAGTGATCTCTAGACAGTATTGTCACCTGTAGGTTTTTTGGATTAGCCTCATCAACATCCATACTTGCTTGAGCACCCTCCTCGCTACCTAACTCAACGATCTGCTATTTCCTTGGCTCTTCCTGGATAGTAACAGCTTCCTTTCCCTTCGAGAGAAAGCCTTCCACCACATAGCTTCCTTGATCTATTATAGATCTGCCCGAAGTACCCGAGATCTCTCCATCATCCTTTTTGCCACTAGGCCTACTGTTGTTAGGAATCAGCCACCTGTTACCCGAATGCATTCCACCGCGCCTCATATAAGCACGTAACCATGGCCCATAATGCTTCTCACCAATCTAAGGGCCACTGTGTGGATTCAAAGGACATAAGCGGTCTGCATGGCCAAGGATCCCACACAAGAAGCAAAAATCTGGGAGTCTCTCATAGTGAAAGTCTGCCCATATCCATTTGTTCCTCTCCTTTCATACTTGCAAGCGTCTAGTCAAAGGCACATTGATATTGATACTATCTCTAATACGCAGAACCAACCGTTATTTCCCACAAGGGGAGCCTTCATCTAGTTGCACTAAAGATCCAATGTTGTTGGCAATCCCACGGGCTTCCCCTTCTGTCATGTATCCCAACGGTAGATTGTGCACCTGAACCCAAAAATCAGCACGATCCAGTGGAAGTTCAAGGGGTCTACCAGTACGTCCCACTCAGCTGATTACCACAAGGTTTTGTTCACATGACCAAGGCCCTTTCGTACAGGACTCTGCTCAAAATCTCCTTTGTGATAAAACTGTAGGAGGAACTTGGATTTGCCTATTTAATCAATTGAAACTCCTCGAAGTGGTTGTCACACCATGGACATTGTTTGACAAAAAGAAATGACACGTATGGCTTTATCAGAAACCACTCTGACTACAACCGAAAGACGGACACCCTCTTCAGCCACATAAGCCCTCTCTGTCGGGTCTACTGCAAGCACCCGACCACTGTTCTCTTCCTCAGTTATATAGATCATACTATAATTCTTGACAAGCATGTCCATAAAGAGAGTGCTACAATATCAAGGAGTCATTTTCAAATAAAACAATAGCCACACAACTTTACGAGAGAACAAATCACAGCACACGAACAACACACCAACCGGGTAAACAAATCCCATGCATGATATTTTGCCACATATTTCCGACTCACCTTTTTTTTTTTTTGCATTTTTCATGTTTGAGGGTTTTTTGGTTTGGAAAAACAAATGCGACGCCACTATGATGGATAGTCAACCAAGACTTACCAAGTACAAGCAAGTGCATATAATAAAATGTTTAATCTATGTAGTAACGATTACTTAATACCTAAATTTGATTTCTCATTATCACCCTTAAGCTATTCTGACGAGAAATTGAAGATTTTTTTAGTTCTGATGGTTAATTTGAGGGATCTTGGATTGAATTCTGATGGTGAAAAACTGGTCAAGAAAACAAGAAAAGCAAGATATTGGAATCTCTTTCAGCCGAAATTGATGTGTTGGTTTGTAGATTTGAAGTCAAGCGGTTGATTTAGAGACCTATTTGTCAAAAAACATTTAAATAAATAGAAACATCTCACTTTCCCTTTCGGGTCGCCCCTAAAAAGAAGCCCCATTTTCTTATTTGGTAAACAAAACAGTGCAAAACAGTGCCAAAAGATGTTAAACAGTACTAAACAGTTTCCTTAAATTGTGTGTAGTTCAAAGTGGGATTGTTAAGTATAGACAATGGAAATATAGTTTTAGATGATACGTAGTACGGTTTTAGGTATTTCATTACTTTTTAAAAAGCGAGTCATAAATATTATTACGTATAAAATATAATTAGTGGACAAAAATATTACTGCAGTTAGTATGCATAGTCAATTTAGTCTCTAGTGGTAAAGTTTAACACAATCGTAATCACTAAAACTAATATGATAACATATTTTTGT